AACCCCCAAAATAGTATAGGTATTCATTAAGGCCTCTGCATTAAACCCCTAAACACCCTAAACTCTAAAAGCCCCCTGAGCTCCTATGAAACCCGATAGGACACCACCCAAACCTCCTATGAGAGCGTAAACAATCCAGAAACTCCAAACATCGTTTGTAAGGAGTATACCTTAAAATATAATAGGAACCCTAATATGATCTTTACGGTGTGTTCCTGAATTAAGGGGGTTTGGGAGTCTCTGGGAAAGTCCCCAGTCAAGCACCCCGTGCCGGTCCAGAAACCTAGGCGCTCTAAGCCCTGTAGCTTGCAGTTCACGTCGCCGTCCTGCGGAGCTCTTCTTGTGGGGGTCAGGGATTTGGGGCTTTGGGGTTCTGGGTGTGGGGTTGAGGGTTTTAGGGTTTAGGCTTTAGGGTTTAGGGTCCTCGGAAGTCTAGACTTCAGGGCTGTAGGTTGAGTCTTCCGAGAAAAGCAATGTAGCCGCAATTCGGGCCAATTTGGGTTCATCGTGCAGGGTTTCTCAGGGTGTGCAAGGTTTGGAGAAGTAAAGTTCCTAAACTCTTACATAGAACCCTAAACCCTGAACCCCTAAACCCTAAACCCTAAACCCTAAACTTAAAACCCTAAACCCTAAACCCTAAACCCCTATGGCCCTATATTACTCCCACAAGAGAAACAGGCCTTTACAATACACGTTGAAAGCCGTGCTATAAGCCCACCTAAACCGAAACCCTTCAGACCTTTCACCCTGACACAATGCAACACGGTGAACCCGAGGGGTTTAGGGTTTAGGGTTTGGGGCTTAAGGTTTAGGGCCTAGGGTTTGAAGTTTAGGGTTCAGGGTTTAGGGTTTTAGGGTTTAGGATTTAGGGTTTTAGGGTTTTTAGGGCTTAGGGTTCCAAACACTGAAACAACGAACTGCCAGCACTTAAACTCCAAGCTCCTTCAAGCAGCAAACACCCTCAACCCTCAAGCCACTACATGGGTAATTCTCTAAATTAGGGTCCTTTTTTAGGTCCCCAATATAGTACGGAACCCTTATAAAAGGGCCCCTAAAGGGGACCCTAATTTAGAGAACTACCCACATGCAAAAAGTCAAGAGTGCAGCCGGCCAAAGTTATTGACGTCATCCTGAAACAACTCAGGCACAACACCCCGAAAAACGGTTGAGGGGTTTAGGGTTTAGGGCTATCATGGCAAGACCCTAAGCCGTCAAACAACTCAGGCACAACAATAATTATAGTCTAGTATTCCCCAAAACCCTATTCTGATGATTAAGGCCCCTATATTATAGAGCCTATAGAGCCCGTATAGAATCTGCCCTAAACCCTAAACCCTAAACCGAAAAGCGGTGGATTCCATGGGCCAGCTCCCACACCGCCAAAGCTCAGACTTTAGGGTTTGGGCTTCGGGGTTTTACCCTTCAGGGCGTCGGGTCTGGACTTATTGTAGGGGCCTTAATGGCTAGAATGGGGTTTTGGGGCATTCTATACTCTACTTATACGAAGGAACCCCCAAAATACTAGAATAGGGTTTTGGGGTATATCATACTATAAATAAACTAACCAACCCCTAAGAATAGTGTTAGTAATTATTTAGGCATCTATATTGGGTGTCGGTAGGGTTCAGTCGCCTGCTCGACGAGACAGCGCAGCATGCGGCTGTCTCCGGCGAAGGCTGCGCACATCACGCCGTTCATGCCCACCCTGGTTTAATGTAGGGTTTAGTTTAGGGTTTAGGGTTTCGGGTTTAGGGTTTAGGGTTGAGGGTTCCTTATTATAGCTATACTATGCAGGACCCCAAAACCCTATTCTAATTATGAGGGCCCCTATATTAGGCTTCGGTTTTGGGTTCACAGGTTTAGCGTTCAGGGGTTTAGGCTTTATTGGTTTAGACTTTAGGGGCTTTGGGAATTAGGGGTTTAGGTTTTATGGTTTGGGGGTTTAGGGTTGAGGGTTTGGCTCTTATTGCGAAGCCGTCTCTCTTTGAGGGCCTTCATATGAGGATCCCTATGAACATCCAGTTTAAGGTAAAATGCCCACGCTGGCTCAAGCTCAAATGTATGTGCCAAGCCGGCTCTGGTCAACGGTCTGAATATTGGGATCAGTAGTTGCGGCTTCTCGACATTCAGTGCCTTCAAGCCGACTCTTTGTGTATGGCATGCGATTAACTAGAATTTTGTCGTGTCGTCGGTAAGCAGGACTTGCTTGTGGAGAGAGCGAGTTTCCCGAGTCGGATTCATGGGTTTAGGGCTTAAGGCTCAAGGTCCGAGTTTAGAGGTGTTGGGTTGTCGGGCGTGTCCCTGAACACCGAATCCTAAACCCTAAACCCCAAGCCCCAAATCCTCAACCCGAACCCTAAACCCTAAACCCTAACCCTAAACCCTAAACCCCAAACCCGAAACCCTAAATAATAAACCCCAAATCCTAAACCCCAAACCCTAAACCCGAAATCCTTAACTGCAAAGGTCCAGGGGCTGGAGCTCTGCAAGCTGCAACCCCGAATCTCCGTAGCACCAAGCCCGCCCCCCAAAAAACGGTTTAGGGTTTAGGTAAGTCATCAACTCCTCTAAACTGTCCCCCAAACTAACTCAACCTCTAGGTTAGGGCTTCGGGTTTCGGGTTTAGGGATTAGTGCTGTAGTGTTCAGGCTTTAGGGTTTCACCCAAATCTGCACCCGAGAAAACTAAATCATCTAGCTGCCCAATCCCGTCAGAGTTTAAGCATCCCACTTGAAGGTTCATGGTACAGGAACTGACGGTTTCTCTTGTTATAGATATAGCTTGACTGAGGCTTTAGGGTTTAGGGTTTAGGGTTGCTCACCCAGACCTTCCAATATCCCTTAATTGAGGACTATACCTTAAAATCATAGCAGGATCCTTTATATGATCTATAAGCTAAATTCCCTAATGCCCTTAAAGATCCCTTTGGGGATCCCTTATAGGAACCCTTAGATGCATATTCCTTGGAAGGTCCGGGTACAGCTGAGGACCCTATGTGTATGGTATGCGGTATGCCGTCTTCTTCGCCTGACCCGTTCAAAACTGTCTGCATGGACCGGTTCAGCGTCTAGGGCCGTTGGGTTAAGGGTTTGGGGTTTAGGGTCTACGGTTTAGGTTTCGGGGTTTAGGGCTTAGGGGACCGAATGTGGTATAGTCGGCCCCCCATCAGTAGCATGGAAGCCCAATCATTCACGGAACGGTCACCGTTCGTGAATTGCAGGTGGAAAGCTTTTAATCAGCATTCAAGGATGTGACACCCTAAACCCTAAACCCATGAAACGGTGGAGCAAGGCGCTCAAGGCCTGCTTTCGCTTGCAGAAAAGCTTAGCAGCGCCGGCGACCGGACAGGATTGTAGTCGCTTAGGGTTTAGGGTTTAGGGTTTAGGGACAGTGGTCGACAAGACTAATTACTCAGTGCTGTCTACCTATCTATTTATCTATCTATCTATCTATCCATCTATCTATCTATCTATCTATCTATCTATCGATCTATCTATCGATCTATCTATCTATCTACGAGTGCATTGGTATTCGGCTCTCTGCGAAATTAACCCTAAACCCTAAACCCGAAACCCTAAACCCTGAACCCTAAAACCTCCTAGACGGATAGAGCAACCATTGTTTTTAGTAGCCGTAACCCTTCTAGCAAGCGTAACCGGGAACCTCACTCTACGACGCCGAATCTTGAAGGGTTTAGGGTTTAAGGGCTTTGGCTTTAGGGTGTAGGGTGTAGGGTTTAGGGTTCAGGGTTTAGGGTTGAGGGTTTAGGGTTTAGGGTTTAGGGTTTAGGGTTTTATGCCGTAACCCCAAAACATTGAAGGATCCTGGGGCGCAGTAGCTAAAGGTATAAAGAAGGCAAGTTTAGTTCTTACACTCTAGTAACACGAGTTGAGGTACTTACAACTTGACCTACTAAGTCCCATGATCGCACAAGTAACCTAAGCAAAGAAGCCGCTATGTAGTCTTCTGATTACCCTAAACTCTGAACCCTGAACCCTCAACCCCAAATCCTAAACCCTAAACCCCAAATCCCAAACCCTAAACCCTGAACCCTAAATCCTAAACCCTAAACCCTGAACCCTAAACCTCAAATCCCAAACCATAAACCCTGAACCCTAAACCTCAAATCCTAAACCCTAAACCTGAACCCCAAATCCTAAACCCTAAACCTGAACCCTAAACCCCTGTTCCGTGAATCTCCCATCTTGGCTCGGCCCGGCCTGTCT